GGGTAAACGTAATACTGATGATGCTGAAACTGAACAATTCTTGACATCACTTATCTCAGAACAACGTAACCTGTTGAATCATATCAAAGACCAATTATTAAATGGTGCTCTTAGTACTGCTATCAATGCTCTTAGTTCTGTGTTGGGTAAACGCAATGCTGATGATGCTGAAATGGAAGTGTTCTTGACATCACTCACACCACAACAACGCATCAGTTGGAATTCAATCAAAGGCCAGTTGGTTCATGGTGCTATGAATACAGTTACTAGTCATCTCGGTGCAATCCTTGGTAAACGCAATGCTGATGATGCTAAAATGGAATTGTTCTTGACATCACTCACATCACAACAACGTAGCTTGTTGAACCATATCAAAGACCAATTATTGAATGGTTCTATTGGCACAGCTATTCTTGCTGTCCTTGGTAAAAAATGAAGTACGACAATTGGTTTTTGAGTGTACAGTATTTTTTCTGATTAATAAGACTTTTTTGCTTTAATAAGATCTGTATATAATAATGATGATTAAAAATAAATCATTTGATTACATATTAAAACCATTGTCTTTATATTAATATTGTTCATTTATAGAAGATTTATTTAAACAGTATTGCTATCAAGGAAGAGTATTTTGAATAACTGAATAAAAAGGAAATATCTGATATTTCAATTATTGTAATAGTGATGCGTGTGAGTAGTATATATAGACGAAATCTTATTCTAGGTGACTGTTTTTTCACAAATATCACTCAGAATAATATAGATCGACGTAAAATAAAGCCTTTAAAGTGTTATCTCAATTGTATCGTCGAAAAAATATGATTTATTCAATAGGAATGTCTTAAAAGCTGTTTGTTTGGTAAGATCAATATCGGCTATAGTTTTGCTTTATCAATTTGAATACAAATCAATGATATTAGTTAGAGAAAAATTTGATACAAAACTCAACAATCAAACATAAATTACTTTGGAAAAGAAAAGCACAAAAGACGTGTTTCATGGAAAGAATTATTTATTTTGATTTATAATTTTTAACAACAACATATCTAATATTATCTAAACACGCAACAATTAAAGGTGACTTGTTCTACACTTTGATATGTTTAATGGATAAACGAAAAATGAACATAATACGCATAAAGAAAAACAGAGTAAATCAATATACTATCGTCAAACTTTATCTATGATACGAACAAACCGAAAAGAATTATCATCTGAGCCAGCATCAGCCGAGTTGGTGACAGACGAATAATAATAGATGTACAGTAACAAGTAAAAATAAAGAGGTAATAATTAATTATAAAAAATAACCCTTGATGACTCAACAAGAAACCTTTTAGACGTAAATCAGTATCGAGAAAAAAGAGATAATAAGTGTTGTTAGTTCAGTTCACATTTGTGAGAAAACTACGAGGAAAAAGTTAATTGGCTTTAGGAAAGATATTAAAAACAACTGTTTGATCTGAAGAAAATAATCGAAGCGATTTGTTCATTGTTAAAATTTGAAATAAGTTCGAATATTTGATTCGCGAGTTTTTATAGTTCAGTGCGGCATAAGTTGTGGCCATTGCGACGCTGAGTTAAAAAAAGTGGTGACACGAGAATTAATTTTCATACATTTTTCTTAATTTCGGAATTTGTGACGAAAATTGACTTTGTTAGGGGTGAGAGACCTTAATGAATGAAGACTATCTGTGAGTATAAGATAAGAAAAAGATCGAAAATTCAGAAAAATTTCTGTCATATTCTAATCAATGAAGTTGAACAATTTTATTTAAATAGATTTTTCAAAGATTATAAATTTGTAAAAATGTATTATATTAATCAATGTCACCTTTTTCTCTTTATAATCATTTAAGGAGAAAAATAAAACTTGACAAAGTTATTTTATATAAATTCCTAAATTACTCTCTTTAAGCCTTGATATCACTAAAAATAATATTAAAAAAGATTTTTAATTATCTTGGAATATGAATGTCAAGAGAGAAATAAAGACATTCAAAATATCTATCACTTACAATAATATGAAGACGAAAAACTATTTTTAATACATTTTATTAATCCATGATATTTCTCAGTACTTCACTGATACAAAAATCAACCATTTTCCTTTGAAAAAAATTCTTTTTCAACTTAGTTGAAAATCTTGAAGATTAGTTAAATAAAAGTAAAATATGTTATTTATTTTAATTCGAAAAACATATAAGATCAATACTTTGTCTTGATTTACATAATTAAATTATCAAGAAAAACATGACGAAAGACATTTGTTTTGTTCTTTGTCATTCATCGTATCTCTATCTTTCGTTACACATATGAGAGAATTCGAAAAGTATCAACATGGTTGATAACATAGATGATAAGTTAATATTATTCATTTCTATATTGCATAAAAGAAAAGAGTAATGATGATGAGAATAAATATAATTACATATATATATTTATATTTCTATATATGTGTATAATATAAAAAGAATTGAAACTAAATTTTATTTTCATACATAAACAATATGAGATCAAAAAAAAACTTGTTCAAGTTGAATCTGTATATTGTTTTATTATTTTTATCGAAGCAAAAAAAAGTATTGTTGTTGTTGTTCTAATATTAATTGAAATAAACTTTATAATGATCTCCATGGAAATGATTCACCACGTTGATCTTTATGTTGAATTTTATCTCTTGCATCTTTACATAAAATATCACCTGAATCTCCATCAATTAAAACTAATGTTGGAATACCAGTTATTTGAAATTTTTTTGCTAATTCTTCTTTTTTCTTTCGTTCACTATAAGATAATTTAAGCCAAGGCATATCTTTACAATATTCATTAAATGCCCGTTCATCACGATCCGAACTTATAAATATTATTTCAAAATTTTTATCTTTAGTATGTGTTTTATAAAATTCAGTAAGCATTGGAGTAAAACCACGACATGGTGGACACCTAAGAAAAAGAAAATAAGATTATTTTAATATGAATAATAAAAAAGAACCTACCAATGTGCACTGAAATAAAGACCAATTATTTTGCCCTTGTATTTTTCATCATTAAGATCAACTTCTTCATTGGAATTATTAACAACATGTCCATCAAATAAATCTGCAAGACTGGTCATATTTTATTTTCTTGATATTTTATTCTGTATAACTTCCAAAACGAAGGAGGAGAAGAAAAAAAAACACAGAGGCAATGACAGTTGCAATGTCTTCAATGACATGCAGTTTTTTCTTTTTCGTTATTCTTAATACAACGGCACTTTCTTTTTGTTGTTCTTTTTTTTCTCAGCTGCTGCACTAGTATCAAGAGATCGATAAGAACAATGCGAAGGAGTAAGAAAGAACGAGAAAATGTTTTGTGTGCATACATTCTATACAAATATAAAGAAATCATATCTTGTCTGCATTCTTCTACTATTTTTTTGTTATCAATAAATAATCTATTCCGTTCTTTTTCTTTTATTGATTGGCGTCAAACATTTGACTTTACAAGATAGATATTCGTTAAGTAAAAAGAAACATTAAACTGAATAACAAAGATATTTATAGTTGATATATTAGAACAAAGATGCGCTTCTTGTTCTTACGTTGTAAACATCGAATAGAGTTTTTCTACTAAATATGAAAAATGATCAGAAGTCAAGTAGAATAAAGAATGTAATGTATTCAAAATTGTCTTTTGTATTTCTATATCGATATAATTAAACCAAGAACGACAATATTTCCTTTTCTTTTATTCTAAGAATATAGAAATCATGAATGCAAACAATGACAAGATTGATTTATAGGAAGAGCTAGTTAACATTTCCATTCTTCATTAAATATGAATATGTTCGATAAACTCTCGGATATTTTTTATTCGAAATTTTATGATAATATCGAATAAGATCAATAGTTTCATTGCGTGTCAGACATATCTTTTTAGAAATACAATTTATTTTCAGTATAATTACAAGAAATCATGTAATATCAATAGATAGATTTCTAAGAAATAATTCTTCAGTCAACTATAGAAAACGCTAGACTTCTAATCTATGATTGATTGCATGATACGAAAAACGTCTAGATACTTCTAAAAATGATGTTTTTATTAACAGAAGGTATCCTGAAAATAGATTAGATATATTTTATAACGATTTATCAAATAAAACTCTGCTTCTGACATTAAATGTCATCATTTAGGGTCGAAAAAAATGACCTTTTAGAAATACGTATTAATGATTATTTAAGATTAGAGTCAAGTTATTTTCTCTTGAATATGCAGATATTACATTAAAATATGTAAATATTTGTATTGTACACGTGAAAAAGAGTGAATTGAAACAAGCATTAGTAGAATTTCAAAAAGTGGCAAATGTCAATATCTTTTTATTGTCATTACAATATAATAAAATTAAAAAAAAATAGCTATGAAACTTCAATTATACCAATATTGTAACTCTTTTCTCGGAATATCGATCGATATTTGTCTTGGTGTAAGCAATAGATAAGAAATTATTTTTATAGATTTCTAGATATGACGAGTAAGAAAGATATATACAAATATTTCTAACTGAAATAAAGCATATACTCGAACTGTCAAATATGTGTTACTGTCTATGAATGACATCTTTTCTAAAGTATTGACAAGTCCCAACAAAGATTTCCTACTGGTCGATTTTGATAACCCTTCAAAATTGTAATTGCATACTATACTGGAAATGCCAAAACTGAAAAACGAAATACTTATATATATGTTTCATTGATTTATTTTCATAATTTTCCTTTTCGATCATGGCAACAAAACGTAAAGTTCCAGACAATCCAAATTCTGAATTGATTGATTTTCTAAATGGTATTTCATTTTTTTTTTCTTCTTACTTACATCAATTTCTATTTGTTACTTTTTTAATTCAGAATTAGGTGAATATGAAAAAAATGTTTCACGACAAATTCATAAATATAATGCTTATCGAAAAGCAGCAGGTTCAATTGCTAAAGTTGGTCATAGAATTGAAACAATAAAAGATATTAAAGGACTCGTAAGTATATTGAGAATTTAATAATAAAATAATATTTTATTTGTGTTTTAAAGGAAGGTATAGGCAAAAAAATCGAAGCAAAAATTGAACAATATTTATCAACTGGAAAAATAAAGAAATTAGAAACAAATCGAGGTGATGAAACCGGTGCAGCAATCAATCAAATGACACGTGTTATGGGAATTGGGTGAGAAGAATTTGTATATCTTTTTTCTTCATTTCAAAAGTATTCTTATTTAGTCCTGCTCATGCAAATAAACTTGTTCATCAAGAAAAAATAAAAACTATAGAGGAATTACGTGCACATCCAAAACGTGATCAATTATTAACTAAAACTCAACAACTTGGTTTAAAATATCTTGAAGAATTTGAACAAAAAATCCCTCGAGATGAAATGACACAAATGGAGGTAAATCATATTATTCACTTAGATTACAAATAAAACAGTACTAAACTTGATTTTTTAGACAATTCTTGTACGTGAAATTACAGCAATTGATGATCAATTAAAAGCAGAAATTGTTGGTAGTTATAGACGAGGTTAGATTTGCTTTTATATAATCAATAACATCAATTTTCTAAATAATTTATTGTTATTCTAGGTGCCAAAGCAAGTTCAGATATTGATGTGTTAGTAACACATTCATCAGCAACTAAATTACCATCGTTACTTCATAAAATAGTTGATATATTAACAAAAAAAGTTCAATTTGTAACAGATACAATTTCTATTGGAGAGTCAAAATTTATGGTAAATTAAAATATTTATCTTTGTTTTTCATTTCATTTTTTATCTTTAAAAAACAGGGTGTTTGTCAACTAGATTCTAGTAAATTACATCGTCGTATTGATATAAGGTAAATATTTATTTAATATTCAAAAATAATAAATATTATTTTTCCTTAATAGAGTATTTCCTAATGAACAGTATCATTGTGCATTACTTTATTTTACTGGAAACGATCAACTTAATCGTCATATGCGTATTGTTGCACAAGAACAAGGTTATAAATTAAATGAATATTCGATTCAAAAAGTTGGATCTACCGGTGTATTAGGCAAACCATTACCAGTTACATCTGAACAGGATATTTTTGATTATCTTCAAATGGATTATAAAGAACCTAATCAACGTAATATGTAAATCAACAGTTTGTTTTTTTATGTACATTATATGAGAACAGTATGATATATGTAGACTTCATATATTTTATTTTATTCAATATGAATTAATTTGATTTTTATAATTTTAACGAATCTTTCTTAATAATAATATTTTGTTTTATTAAATTAAATAAAATACAAGATTTGACTTATTTTAGAATTGCTCAGATAACTAGTCAGATGTGGTCTTATTATCTGTAAATATAAACGTCTTGAGACTGAATAAATTTGATTAGCTAGTATGAATATTTTTCGTTCGAAATAGTCAATTAAAATGATAACAATAGAATTTTCGACCTTTTCAAGTTGGTTAAATCGGTCTTGTTTATTCTAATTTTGTTATGTTCCTCTCAAGTTATCTATTTTAATATTGACTTATTCATATGCAATATTTTAAAACTTGAATATTATTTATAGGTTGGATTGATGTTTTGTATTGATAATTAAAAAAACAACTTATATATTGTTATGATGATATATTACAACATTAACATTAGGTATTAGTTTATTATTTCGCAATATATATTGTGTATTTGTTTTTATTTTTGTTATTATGTTACTGATGATGACCAATTTAACCAACTTGAAAAGGTCAAAAATTCTATTGTTATTATTTTTCATATAGAAAGTTCCATTAAAATCAGCGTTAAACTGCATTTATTTTCATTTTCACTTTATTATGTTACTATTAAGTTATCTGTTTTAATAGTCAATTTAAAAATATTTTTCAAGAAAACCATCACGATACGTTCGCAATCTTAATATAGATCTCTATTTTCTTCTTGTTAAATCTAATCATATTCTGTTTGCAAATTGATAGTGTAGTTTACTTGAACTCATTCAATGGCATTGCATATTAGTGGATTAAGAGAAAACTTAGAATCGAGGTACGTGATCATTATAGATTTACATATTCGACGATCAATAAAAGTCATAAGGGCATGCTATATTTTATATCAAATCAAGTACTATTCAACTAATACCACGAGTTACACATTTTCTACTATAAAATGGTACGTTATCAACAGATATATATTTAGAGAGAAATTTCGACAGGAGAGGTGAAAATCTTCAATTTAGATACTAAACAATTCGAAATTTAATTTGCAATTGAATAAGATGTTTCCTGCAAAGGACAGATGTTTGTGAACATGTGTTTATAGTGCTTCCATGTATTTCAGTACAATACTTATTGGCAAAATGAGCAGAGTATGTGATGTTCCTACTTCGCATATAACAACTTTACCTATTTGATATCTTTTGATTTTAAAATGTAAAAATTGTGTTGTAAGTTTATGTATATTACCATGATTTTCTGTAGATGTCAGTGCTATGTAGTGATTTTGTCCATAAATGTAAGAAAGACACGTGTTATTTTGATGCCTCCGACAGTATATTGCCTTAAATACTTTCTATCATAAAACGATTTATTTTCTATTTCTTTTGATGACATCGATATTCGTTTATCGTTTTCTTTATACCAGTGTTAAACTTTTATGATTTTTTTCTAATAATTTTTAACTTTTAGATAAAATGTCAAAATATATCATTGTTATTGCATTGTTATCGATGATTATTGTCGATACATTAGCAGCAGATAAATTACAAATTGATGTAAAGAAAAAAGTTGACGATTGTGAACGAAAATCTAAAAACGGCGATCGTCTTCATATGCATTATACTGTAATTAATTAATAATTTATAAGATTTTCGAAAATCTTTCGATTTTTCTTAGGGTACATTGAAATCAGATGGTAAAAAATTCGATTCAAGCCGTGATCGTGGTGATCCATTTGTTTTTACTATTGGTAGTGGTCAAGTTATCAAAGGGGTAAACTAAATTTCTTTTTTTATTAAAATCATAAAATCTAATAAAATCTATTTTTAGTGGGAACAAGGATTACTCGAGTAAGTTATCAATTGAAAATGAGTTTTTTTTATTGTTTAATAATAATTTTTATATTATTTAGTATGTGTGAAGGTGAACAACGTGTGTTAACAATTCCAGCATCACTCGGTTATGGAGATCGTGGTGCTGGCAATGTCATTCCAGCTGGTGCTACACTTGTCTTCGATGTTGAACTCATTAAAATTGAACGCAAAAATAACGATCTTTAGATAGCAACTTTATTTTGACATATCACCTTTTTAAGCCAATTTCATATAAGGCATTAGTTGATTTTCATTATATTGTTTTATTGTTATATTTATCTTAGTATAAGCAGCTTAATAAAGTTTCCATGATTAAATTCTACAAGATATATTTATTTGAGAAGATTCAAGATCCAACTTTGATATTCTTGATGATATAACAAACATCCGAAGATGCTTACAACTAAATAAAGTATGAAACCAGATATTACGAAAAGTCCTAGAGAGTATCTCCTTATGTCGAATTCTCATCCATAGACTTTATCACTTTATAATGAGCTAATAAAACGAAGTCTTGATGAACCATTATTTTAGAACCACATAATAATCAATGCATTTTACAAAACTAAAAAATTGAGCTAATTTTCGAAGAAATTAGATACATATCATAAGATATTAATATTTTTTTCATATAACCTTATTTTTAATATATAAGCAGGAAGCTGTTGATTGTTGAGAAAACGTTCCGTCTCTTTATTTCCTCTTAATAAGGTGCCCCTTGTGTATAAGACATCTTGTATGGTTACAAAGGAGCATCGAGGATTTATTGTATAGGTAAGTGTGTTTCATAGAATGATGAAAAAAAGGTACAACCGATACAATACTTTTATGCTGAAGGGATATAATAATACTATTTCGAGTGTTTGCATAAAAACATATATGTATTATCATTGATTATGATGAAAATGTTTTGATATTTTAAGAATGTAAAAAAATGTTATCAATAACAAAAAAAGCTAATAAACAATATTTTGTTTCTAAAAAACAGTTTCAGGTAAATCATAACCATTAACAAATGTAACCCATTTATCTTTTGGTATATTTTTAAATACTTGATTTAATCGATTAGTAAGTTTTTTTTCTGAAACACGTATAAAGATTTTTAAAATTTTTTCTGGATAATTTTCATAAATATTTGCATAAATTTCTGGATCTTTTTGAAATATATCTCCAACTAATATAAATTGTCTTCCACGTGTTTTTTGAAAAAACATATGTAAAATATTTGTTTTTTGTTTTATAAATGATTGTGATGCAAAAAATTGAAAAAAATTTGAATCAAACCATGTAAAATGTCTCATATGATATGAACCAAGTGGAAATTTTTCACGTTCAAAAAATTCACGTAAAAATGGATATAATTGATCAGGTGATGCCGTTAAATAATGAAATGTTGCATTATATTTTGATTCATAATGACGATAACGTTCTGACATACCTGGTACAGCTTTATATTCACCTGAAAATGTATTTCGAATAACAGAACGTGCACTTGTTACACCAGTTATTTTAACTGTATCATCCTATTATGAATATAAATTATTATAATTATCATCTATTCTATTAATATACTTACAATATCACTAATAACTGATATTCCATGATCATCACATAAAAATATTTCACCTTTTTCTCGAAGACTTTTATCTGTTGTTGATACAGAATATTCAACTTTTCCTCCACGACCACCAGGTACACGAAATTGTTCAATATCATTATTCGATACTTGAAATTGTGTTTCAATTAATCCATGTGTATCAGTTCGTGTACACATTTCATGTTTTAAACCATCAACACATAATGATTTATAACGTTTACCTGTTCCTGTAAAATAAGCTAAACGTTTTTTATCAATATTATGAACCGTTGTTGCAAGGATTGATGTTGCAAGCATTGCACGAAATGGATTTTCTTCAAAAAGCCAACCTATTAGAAAAACAACATAATAAAATTATTTTTTTTAATCGTGATAAAAAGAAATAATTAGACCTTCAGCAAAAAGTATCCAATCATCTGTTGGTTGAGCAAGTGCTGTTAATTCCATAGCAGCTGGACGATGACGAAATGCAACGGATGGAACAAGCATTAATTCTTGTCGTCCAGATATGAGAAAATGAGATGTTAAAGTACATTTTTCAACAAGAAGAAAAAGAAAAAAAATATTAAGATGTTTCCATATAATCATGTTGATTGACTTCTATGAAGAAATTTGAATATATGTATAAGAATATAATCGTCGTTTATCGTCGTGTCAATCAACAAATGAAAACGAAATAATACATATATTCAAGCTTATATTCAATGACGAAGATTAGAAATGAGAATCGATTGTTGAGACTATGATCCTCTTACATATAAATTTTATCTTTTCATGTACACATTCATTATCGGTTCTATGCTGTTAGCTATCGTGAATGAGTGTATGTTGTACATGTATATATTTCTCTCTTTTCTTTTTCTTTTTTTTACTTGCCCATGTTTTATTATATAGGTATTAAATTTTTTTTCCTTTCCTTCGTCTTTCTATTACAGTGATTTGATGCCATAACATATAAATTCCATCTGTGGCTTAAGCAAATAAAAAAGAGCTAATATTTTTAGGCTTTTTTTTCTTTTCGAAGAAATAATCCAGTTTACTAAGCGAACTTTGTCAGAAGAATTACCAAACAAAATTTATTTTTAGAATAATATGAAAATTATGTACGAATGTTTTATTAAACAGAGCTATAAAGCAAATATTTGAATAATGTTCAGTAGATGTTATTTTTCTAATCATTAATAGAATAAATTTTTTATCTTTACATGTTTTTGATAAGTTATATAGCATGAAATAGTATTATCAAAAGAAGATTATGTTACTAGAAACTCTATACGTTGTTCAGTACGAACAAAATAGACAACAACGTATTACTTCATAGCTACATATTCATGATAAGTATTAGACGTTCTGTAGTAATTCATATATATATAAAATATATCTTATATGAGAGAACTTCTCTGTGAATTACTAACGCGTCTCATCAAAACAATTTTTCGTAGATAAATGTTTTTATCGAGTGATATCTTATCAATGCGATAAAGATAATATATTATTATCATCAGCAAACAGATCTTGAAATAAAATTCGACAGATTCATGCAATAATTTATTTATATCTTTACCAGTATACATCGAATTCATTCAATATCGAAAGATTTTCTACTTATTCGTACCATCTGGTCACAGATTTATTGCACATTAACTATAGAAAGAAATATAATCTGATAAACTACTTTGATTGTGTGAAATACTTCACTACAGTACATATTGGAATAGATAAAAAAAATATTTTATCATCAAATAATCTATATACATAAAAAAGAATGTTTGTTTATATGTTCGCTATGGATTCAGTCTTTGTAATAGCTAGCATCATGAAACTCTCTATAATTCTTCCATGGATCCAGGAGAAGGTCAAGAAGGGGTGGGCGACAGATAGTGAATCTATAATTACCTATAGATGTATTTTCATCGGATGAACTTACTTCATTCACCTTAATTGAAAAAGAGAACAAAGAAAGAAAAAAAAATGTCTATATTGCGCATCTATAAACCAATCGCAACAGTCATATATCTAGCTGATGGACTTGCTCCAGTCGAGTGTGGGTGTAGGTATGAGTGTGGTGATTCGATTAGTCACTCGTTCGTCTACATCCACTCACACCCACTCTTCATATATCAACATTGATGCTGCAGATATAGTATTTATTCAAGGTTTTTTTCTTTTCCTCTTGCAAATCAGTGAACTTACAGGGTGTGGCTATTTATCAGATTTGACAAAAACAATCTCATCCAGATCCACATCTACATTCTATTTCTTGTTCTTATTTTCATTTATGGTAGATTTGATGATCGAAATACTAATTGTTTAATAATCACATCGCAGGTAGACAATTGGTGATTAAAAAATTTCTTATCCATAAAATAATACGCTTCTACTAATATGTACGACTCTATGGATAACGTAAAAAAAGATCCTGAGAAAACTTTTAGATACAATACATTCAATCAGATCGATAGTTGTCATTTATAGAAAAATTGGTTTAATAAATTGTAGTTTTTTTAACAAGAGCAAATGAAAACGATGTTCAAGTAGATGACTGGAGTCAACGTTATCGAACTTCCTAGTCCGATCCATTAAAAAAATATGTTGCAAAATATGAAACAACTGATTTTAACTAATGTTGTGTACCAACCGTACTATTTTTATTTATAAAAAAAAAGAAAGATAAAAAGTAAATCAATTTTTACAATATATAATTTTTTATAATTTCCAATGCACACTTATTTTGTTGCCACTACGCTGAATTGTATACTTATCATTAACTGTCTCGGAATCCATTATATTTGCTAAAGTTCTAACCAAGTTTTCATTTGCCATATGAATAATGAAGCAGAGATTAGGAATACGTGTCATTCGATTCATTAAAATAAATTTCATAAGTGATGGAACATCTGTATATGACATACAGCCTACTTCAAGATATTCTATATGTGGACAAAGATTGATAAAAAATTCAATTTCTTCTTCTTCTATAACTTGACCAAGTTTGACTTTTGTTATTTTGTTAATAGCCAATACTGATAGATGATTTCTGGTATGTTCAATAAATAAAGATTCTAACTTAACTATTGGTATAGATGAGAGTTTTAATGATTCAATATTCGGTAACAAATGTAGAATACCGAGTAACATGTTAATAGACATGGTATCATCATCTATATTTAAATGAGTAAATTGAATCGCTTCCAAAGCAGATTTTAATTTCTTAATAGATTGCCCATTAAGTCCGATATCTTCATAATCCAAGATAGTCAATTGTATAATACCATGGTCAGTTTTTTCTCGATTAGAAATATAATTATCTTTTGTCGAATTTTGTTTCGAATACGTGTCAATATTCGTATGTTCACGAAGATCGATCCATTCTTTTCTGATAAAGAAAAAATAGAAAGATATATAAAATCATTTCATCAAAGATTTGTCTGGATATACTTATATGGATGAATTGAAAAAACCATTGATTCACAATATACTTCTATCTCACGAACCCATTTTCGTTCAGACCAAAATGGTGAATTAAATCGATTAATGAATCCATCAGTTGAATCACTTAAATTTATCTCTCTATCATCATCAATATCCTGAGTAAAATTAAAGTAGAATTTTTCTAATTGAGGCATATATTCTTTAATCAATTGTTCCCAGCGGTTACCATCAAGATAAGTTCTATTCTGAAGTGTATAAATTTTCAATATTTGTAATTGAGAGGATATTTTCGTGATAAACACTTCAAATTCGTCAAACGGAGCAGAAACTTCTTCAAAATTAACGAATTTTAAATGTGGTAAACTTGTCGATAAATCGTTTTTGAAATTTTCATCTGATTCAATCACTGGATAACAAGACAGATGACGAAGTTGTGGTGTATAATGAAGTAGAGAATTTAGTTGATTAAAAGTACAAGGATGATGTACCACTAAATGTTCGATTGTACTAGATTTTTTATTGATTGCATGTGGAATAGTAATTTGGATTTCACGGGCATGTGTTGCCAGTTGGTTATATTTTAATGTAGGTAAAGAAAAAATTAGTGAATAAATATTTCCAAGATCATAATAATCATCATCATTGATATAAATGGTTAGTGAAAAGAGACGAGGTAAAGCATTTAAATAAAAAAGAGTCGTAAGTAGTTTCTCTTTTTTGATGTCATTGAGAAGGATTGATTCAAGACGATGAAATGATGAATCAATAATACAATGATTAAAGAACTTATCAATTAATAATTCACCCCACGGATGACCCCGAAAATGAAGGGAAAGAATACGATGTGAATTTGGAATAATAACATGTTGACAACGATCTTCGAGTAGCGCTTCTGAATTAACTTTTATTCGAAGTAAAATTGATGAAGAAATGATAAGGTTTTCTAAACGATTACTAAGATTTGAAAATGATTCATATATATCATAAGCATCAATATAGTCCAATATTTCGTACAAAACTTCATTGGATAAATTTTCAAAACATGTATGCGATGTACTGAAAAAATATATTATGCATTTTAACAAATAAGTTTATTAATTACCTTTCATCACTCAATCTTGCTAAAGAAAACAAAATGAAAAAAGATTACTCTAATATAATTCTAGTTTACTTCGTAGCTTTTTCATTTCCACATCAATCGATTGAGTTAAACTTAGTTGTCGTTTGATTTGAGTCATATTTATTCAACACGTAAATATAAATTGTAAAAGTTTTCTCAAGTGTACAAAATCGACTGTGTAATACTATAAAGAAACTGTTTTTTTCTTCCATTTATTTGATATATACAAATGAACATCGATTAGTCACTACTTTTTATTTATTATTCTTTGTTCTATCATGTTCCCTTCGGAAGAAGAATAAGAGAATGAAATAAGTATTTGTGGTTAACACGTGTTATTATTTTCGATAAAAGTTGATATATATGTACAGATTAATTACGTTATTTTCATATATATATAAACAAAAGAGCAGTAAAATTATAAAAGACGATGTTCGAAATAGTAGATTGGCTGATACGAACAAATTTAGCAATAGTACGTTGAGATGATAGATCTTGAACATGAGTTTTATTACGTGACATTTGTTTAAACAGAATTTTAATAAATTGGACGAAAGTCACGGGTGTGGGTGTAGAGATTTTATTAGTCACTCGTTTGTCTGCATCCACTAACACCCACTCTTTATATATCAAGATTGATGCTGTCGATATAGTATATTTACTCAGGAGTTTTCTTTTTCTCTTGAAATACGGTGAACCTAGAGAGTGCAAATATGTTTTACATTTGACAAAAACAATCTCATCCAAGCCCATAGCATATCAAGTTCACACCTACACCCTATTTCTTGTTCTTATTTTCATTTATGATAGATTCGATGATCGAAATACTAATTGTTTAATAATCATATCGCTGGCAGACAGTTTTGGTGATTAAAAAATTTCGTATCCATAAAGTAATGCCTTCTTCTCTTCACAAACGATCGATAATAATATAGAACGAGGCAAAACATATTTTCAGTAATACACTTATACTGATATTTACGACTACATGGATAACTTTATAAAAAACATCCTGAGAAAACTTTTAGATGCAATACATTCCATCAGATTGATAGTTGTGAATTATAGAAAAATTAGTTTTATAAATTGTAGTTTTTTTAATAAGAGGAAATGAAAAATTCTGTTCGAGTAAATGACTGGAGTCCATGTTATAGAACTTCTGAGTCCGAGCCATTAAAAAGGTATATCGCAAAGTATGAAGCAACTGATTTTGATGAATGTTTTGTACCAACCATACTATTTTTATTTATAAAAAACATAAGAAAGATAAAAGGCTAGTCAAATTTCATGATATATAATTTCTTATAATTTCCAATGCACATTTATTTTGTCACCACTACGCTGAATTGTATAGCTATCAATAACTGTCTCGAAATCCATTATATTTGCTAAAGTTCTAACCAAGTTTTCATCTGCCATAAGAAAATCGAAACACAGATGACAGAGATTTGGAATACGTGTCTTTCGATTCGTTAAAATAACTTTCATAAGTAATGGAACATCTGTATTTAACAAACAGTGTACTTTAAGATGTTCTATTTGTGGGAAAAGATTGATAAAAAATTCAATTTCTTCTTCTTCTGTAACTTGACCAAGTTTGACTTTTGTCATTTTGTTAGTAATCGGTACTGATAGATGATTTCTGGTATGTTCAATAGATAAATATTCGAACAGACGTTTCGGCATAAATAACAATTTTAATGATTCAAGATGTGGCAACAGACGTAGAATATTGAGTAACATGTTAATAGATATGCTCTCATTTTCTATATTTAAATGAGTAAATTGAATCGCTTTAATAGTAGGTATTAATCTCCTAATAAATCGCCAATCAAGATCGCTATCTCCATGAAACTCAATAGTCAATTGTATAATACCATGGTCACTTTTTTCTCGATTAGAAATATAATTATCTTCTATTGAATTTTGTTTCGAATTCGTGCCAGTATTAATATGTTCATGAAGGTCGGTCCATTGTTTTCTGATAAAGAAAAAATAAAAAGATGTATAAAATCATTTGAACAAAGATTTGTTTGGATATACTTATATGGAAAAATTGAAAAAATCTTTTTTTCACAAAATACTTTTAGCTCACGAAACCATTTCCGTTCAGACCAAAATGGTGAACTAAATCGATTAATGAATCCATCAGTTGAATCAATTAAATTTGTCTTCTTATCATTTTTAATATTCTGAGTAAAACGAAAGTAGAATTTTTTTAATTGAGGCATATATTTTTTAATTAATTGTTCCCAACGATTACCATCAAGATAGTTTTTATAATCATATGTACCAATTCTAAATATTTGTAATTGAGAGGATATTTCTTTAATAAACACTTCGAATTCATCAAACGAAACATAAACTTCTTCAAAACCAATGTATTTCAAATGTGGTAATTTCATTGATAGATTTTTTTTGAATTTTTTGTCTGATTCAATCACACCATGGCAAAACAGATGACGAAGTTGTGGTGTATAATGAAGTAGAGAATTTAGTTGATTAAGAGTAAAAAAATTATGAATAACCATATATTCTATCATACTAAATTTGTTATTGGTTAGATGTGAAATAATACGTGGTAATTTATTACCAAATGTTCCTAGTTCGTTACATTTTAATGAAGATAAAGAAAAAATCAGTGAATAAATATTCCCCAGATCATAAGAACTTTTATCCATTATAGTAATATTTAGTGAAAAGAGACGAGGTAAAGATTTTAAATAAATAAGAATTGTGAGTAGTTTCTCTGCTTTGATATCATGGAGACCGATTGATTCAAGACGATGAAATGATGAATCAATAATATAATGATCAAAGAACGTATTAATCAATGATTCATCATGAAAATGAAGAAAACGAATACGATGTGAGTTTGGAATAATAACATGTTGACAACGATTTTCGAATAAAGAACTGGATTTTAAACAAAGTTTTATTCGAAGTAAAAGTGACGAAGAAGTGATAAGAGATTGTAAACGATTATTAAGATTTGAAAATGATTCATATATATCATAAGCATCAATATAGTCCAATATTTCGTACAAAACTTCATTGGATAAATTTTCAAAACAGGTGTACGATGTACTGAAAAAAAATAGAAGAAAAATATTATGCATTTTAACAGATACGTTTATTAATTACCTTTCGTCACTCAATCTTGCTAAAGAAGACAAAATGAAAAAATAATACTCTAATATAATTCTAGTTTACTTCGTAGCTTTTTCATCTCCACATCAATTGATTGAGTTAAACTTAGTTGTCGTTTGATTTGACTCATATTTATTCAACACGTAAATATAAATTGTAAAAGTTTTCTCAAGTGTACAAAATCGACTGTGTAATATTATAAAGAAACTGTTTTTTTCTTCCATTTATTTGATATATACAAATGAACATCGATTAGTCACTACTTTTTATTTATTATTCTTTGTTCTATTATTTTCTCTTCGGAAGAAAGATAAAAGAATAAAATAAGTATTTGGGCTTGACACGTGTTATATTTTTCAATAAAATTCGATATATATATGCGGATTGATTGCGTTATTTTTCATATATATCAAGAAAAGAGCAGTAAAATTATAAAAGGCGATGTTTGAAATAGTAGATTGGCTAATATGAACAAATTTAGTAGTAGCACGTTGACATGATGAATCTTGAAAATCAATTTAATTACGTGACATTTGTTTAAACTAAATTTTAATAAATCGAACGGAAGTCAAAGAATCTAAGTGTGATTCAACAGAAAAGAAAAAAACCGTTCCATATTTGATGCACACATTTCATCGCGAACGTCGAACGCGATCAGCTGATATACAAAAAATAAAACCATTGAAAACAACGTAATTAATCTGTATATAAAGAAAATATACGTAGATCGAATACCCTATGACAAAATTAATTTTATGAATATTCTTTTCCAAATAAATAATTCTATTCGTTTATCTATATTTTTGAAATATTGATAACTGCGGAAAAGTCATAGAAAAATCTTTTATCGGTAAATATATGTAAAACATTTTTCACGTCGATATTATAATCATTAATTTTACATTTCGCAGTTTTCAAAACATATGAGAACTTGAAAGATATATGTGCATCTAATAGTGTAAATTTGTTGCATAATACTGTAACACTAGTGAAAATTGAGTTTCGATAATAGTACTCTGTTTATCGATAACTAGTAAATTATTTTATCCTCACAAAACGATTGCGACGTTTAGAGGATTGTATCATATTCCTCTACCCGAGAGAAATACTTTAATCACAAATACGAACTACTAAAATAAGTGCAGATCTTCAACTTATCGAAAATACATTCTAATAAGTATTGTCTGATTTATCCTTTGTAAATCTATAGAGTAACAAATATTAAATGAAAAGAAACCATGAGAATATTATGAACACAAATTTATTTGAAATTTTTTTAAGAGTAATTCATATTCTTTTGATTTTTCTCATCAATATAATAAAAGGTCAAAGGTCTATACATATCATTACATGTCATATCGATTGTTTTCAATCAATATGAAACAAACAGTAAGAACAGCTTATGAAATAAAAGTTTAGCATAATTAAGTGTAATATTATATATGTTTTTCATTAAAATAACACATGTTGAACAAATACAAGTAATTAATAGAATCTGAAAGAAGATCTATTTCTTCAGCTGATTCTGGAACATGTTCTCATCATAATTTATAAATCTGATCAAATATTCTTTGTTTTTTTTACGTAGGATTTAACTTTTCTCTATAACTAATTGAATAATGTATATAATCAACAATCACGTTTTCTTTACTAAATATTAACGTAACTTTATTCTGGAGAGATTATTTCTCAATGAATCAATACCGCTGATTATTGAATTTATATATTATAGAACTTTGTATTTTCTTTCTCACTCCAATATTCTTGTCTTGATCAAATATATAAAAATCGAATTATATTTTCGAACAAAGATCTATATTCACTCGTGTCAAATCAGTATTATACAACAACTAAATTAAATCTTAATAGAATTTTTCAAGATTATGTCTGATAACTTTTCAGATGACAATATAATAAATGATAATGTAAGTCGAACATGGATTAAGATTGAATTTTCGTTATTTTTAATTGGTCAAATTGTATCTATTCCTTGTTATATATTTGTTCTATATCATTTTTTAGCACATAAAATAACTCGACGTGCACTTCATAATCATGTTATTATAATTTTATTAATTTATAATTTTATCGATTTAACAGTTGATCTATCTCTAACAATGACTTATTCATTATTTGATATCGTCTCACCATTTTCTCCAATAGTTTGTCTTCTATGGCAATTTATAGATTATGGAATCTGGTATGGTACAATATCTTTAATGTTTTGGGCATCAATTGAACGACATATTCTTGTTTTTCATTCAAATATTATTCGTACAAAACAAAGGCGTATTATTCTACATTATATTCCACTTCTATTTTTTTCTCTTTATACTCCAATCTTATATTTTTATTTAATATTTCTCTATCCATGTGATCATGTATTTCTTAGTACACATGTTCGTTGTGGTTCACTTTGTTATTTTTATTCAGCTCCAGTTTGGTTTATTTATTATGATACACTTGCTCATTATACAATACCAATATTATTAATTACTTTATTTAGTAGTATTCTTATTTTACGTTTTATTAAACAAAAATCTCGTTTAAAACAAGCAATAAAATGGCGTCAATGTCGAAAAATGATTATTCAACTTTCACTTGTATCGATTTCTTATCTTGTTTTTGATTTACCTTATATTATTATAATTATTGTACAATCATCTGGTTATCCGAATTTTGGTAGTGAAATAATAACACCATATATTTCACATTTAGTATATGTTCCTCCAATTGTTGTACCATATGCTACGCTTCTCTCATTACCTCGATTAAAATATAAACTTCGATCATTACTTATTTGGAAAAGAAATAGACGAATTATAGCTCCAATAACTGTAGTACAATAAATATTGTTAATTGAATGTGATTAAAATACAATATAGAAAATTTATCATTAGATTTATTAGTCTTATTAGAATTCTATTTTAACGTAGTCTGTCTGTTTAGTTTCTTGTATTTATGTATCATATTGTAAAAAATATTCGAAAATATAATGAAAAACTGTCTTACGAATGTTTTGAATAATTATATTTCTTTTTGCTTTACCATTATCATTGTATAACAATAAAATTAAAGTAATACGTAAGACAAACAAACACGTTGTTGGTTATAGTCAGAGATTGAAAATCAATGAAAATGAACAACACAAACGAATAGGATGATCATGAATGTATTAATCATAGATTTCTGGAAGAATTTATATTTATTGGATTATTTTGATTGTATATATGTAATAAATATTTGTCATATTAATCTATCCTAACATAAAGATTTAATTAAATAATATATCAAATGTATCTTTTATTTACTTTAAATATTATAAAAAAAAAAACTTTTATATTTATTTTCTTCATACTTCACATTACATTATGTATATCTAATAGAAAAATAAGTCGAGATAGTGTTCCATGTTTCATTTATCATTTATCCTTAAGATAGAAAACAAAATGACGACAATCCACTTAAAAAACAACACAACTCATTAAAATATCACGCAATATCTATTTATTACTTTTAAATTATCTAAAAGATATTTTTCCCCTAAATTGACGTCATAATACAGGCAACTAACTATTATCTTTCTTCAATGAGTAAATCCAAGCCTTAATAACACGATATTACTGCGCACTCATGTTTTTCTACGTCATGCTCTCTCCCTAATTGTTACGACTAATATGACATTGCTCTATATTCTTCCTATCAGATTAATAGTTTATTCAACTTTTCTATTGATTATTTCGAGGTCTTTTTATTGAATACTTTAGATCTTGAATCCGAAGATATAATAAGAGGAAAAGATTGTGTATGATTGGTAGTCAATCGATTCACTAGATTTATCGAAAAATATGGCTCCAAGACCAGCTTATATTTCATCGTCTTAGCCGAAAACTAAGTTTTCATTATTTTTAATTGGTGAAATTCTTTCTATTTCTTGTTGTATATTCATAATTTATCATATTCTAATAAACAAAAGGTCACGCCAATCTCTTCATAATCATGTTATATTAATTTTATTATTTTATAATTTTCTTCAATTAATACTTGATTTACCTACGACAATGGGTAATTCACGTCTTGGATCTGTATCACCATTTTCACATTCTCTTTGTCTTCTATAGCAATTTATTAATTTTGTAATTTGGTATGGCGGAATCTTTTTAATGTTTTGGACATCTATTGAACGATATATTCTTATATTTCATTCAAATCTAGTTCGAACAACACAAAAACATCTCTTATTTCATTATATATCACTTTTATTTTTTTCTCTTTATCCACCAATTCTTTATTTTTATTTAATCTTTTTATATCCTTGTAATCATGTATTTACCGATACTGGTGTTCGTTGTTATACAATGTGTTATACAAATTCACTTGCAAGTTGGTTTGATATTTATGATTCTATTGTCAATTATATAGCACCACTTTGACTAATTGCTGTCTTTAGTATTGCACTTATTGTACGTTTTGTTAAACACAGACGACGTTTACAACATGCTACTACATGGCGTCAATGTCGAAATAATAGATTTATTTCAGCATTGATCGGCATATGTGAAATTATCATTGTGTGGCATTTCAAATTATATTTTTCTCTCGGATTCAATATTTTATATACAATATATAATATTGCACTCGCAAAATGCATGACTTCTACAGAAAGAATTTTCTGTTCCAGCATATATTTATCTTAATGCTCCTAATATATTGTAAGTCACTGGTCGATTTCGTATTATATTTTAATAAAATCAAAAGGATATTTACGTCAATAACTCTGGTCATTTTTATTTTATTATTTAATTTTTACGAATGTATTACTATGAAAGACATAATCTTTGACCCATTACTTTAGATAAATTTTTTATAATAATTGATGTAAATTAACGGAATGATTTGTTGTAACTAGTAGAAAATTTGATTTATTTTGAAAAGCACGACGTGGTGGTTGATTAAAATTATAATCAACTATTTGTTTAAATGCTCCATCTCGCGAAATATATAATAAATGTGATTGATTTGAATCAATAATTAACCATTCATTTTCTCGAATCGAACAAAATCTATTTCGATGTACTGTCATTTGACATTGTTTAAGTTCAATTGACCATATACATTGTAATGTTTGATCAGATCTTAATTGAAAATGTTTATTATTATTTATTCGATTTTGTACAATCATAGCTATTTGATTATTATTATTATTATGTAAAAAATGATCAATACTTTCATCTTTTACGCATGTTGTAGGTGATGTCCATTTTCGATTGAAGACAAATGATGATGGACGAATATTAAATTGATAAGCATTAGTACCCCATTTATATGCTGTTAAATATAAATGTTCCAATGAACATGTTATACTATGCCAATGACCTTTCTTACGAGTTCGAATATCCCTTTTTTCTAAACTCATTGTTTTATCATTCAAAACAAAAACATCATAGTCTGTAAGAATAACAAAACGATCTAATGCCAATGACCAACACATATCAGCAATAGACATATCGGGATAAGGATGAGTTTGTTTAATAAGATTTAAATTAAAATCATATAAACATAATGTTGGGTGATGATGAAGTAATATATAAGTATCATTACAAGCTATACAATCAACGTCATTTGCAGATGAAGCAATTGTTTGAAGAATAGGTGACAATATTAGTTCATCATTATTATTAATTTGCTCTTCCACATTAAAAATAATATAATTATCTTCAAGAATTAATGGACGAATATTAATATTAATTGGTTTAATATCTATATCAGTAGTTTCTTTTTCAAGATTTTGTATTGTTTTAACGAAAACATCAATTTGTTCATTGCTTGCATCATGATTATGAATAACTTGTGCAATTCTGGTTTGAATTTGTTCAGTTTCTTGACGTAATTGATTAAGTTTTTTACTAATTAATTCATTTAATTCATTAGATTTCTGTTCATAAATACGTTCAATGGATTGAAAAGCTTCTTGTTTCCATTGATCTAATTGAATACGTATTGGTTGAACAAGAGAATCAACATTAACTTGTTGTAGCCGATCAGCAAGTTGATTTATATTATCAGTCAAAGGTTCAAGTTGTGCATTTAATAAATCATCATGTTCTTTCAAATGATCAAGACATAAATATTCTTTACAACAATTACAAAGAGCACGTGAAGTACGTTTTGGTCCACAAATCGCACAAGATTGTGTTGACATTTTGTACTGCGAAATTTTTTCTTGTTTTACTCAGTTGTAATCGTAAAAATAATCTCTACGACAAATTTTTACCCACTCGTTTTTTTCGTTCTTTCACAAACAAAGAAAAAAAACGAATACATGTGAAAAAAGAAAGACAAAATTTTTTTTTCTAATCAGGATTAAAAATGTCTTTCGAACAAAAAAGAATTATTTACTATTTACTCTTTTAATATCACCTAGAATATCAAAGTTCGACTTCAAATAAATCCAATTTTTAATATAGTAGCAAGTGTATAAGATAGCAGTATCTTGTGTCAAAGTAACAGATGCATTTGGAAACAGCTGACACTAATGATACTTTGCATGAGAAATTATTCTTTTTGCTACTTTCAAGTAAATATATCGTGTAAGATTTAATCATAGAAACTCTATTAAGATGTTTATACTAAGATAAATATAAGAATAAAACAACAAAATGAAACTCAAACAATGCCGTACATCAATTGGCTACGGAAAAAAAAGTGGAATGTCAAAATAAAATTGTTATCTAAAGATCCTTGTCGTCGCGTTCAATTTTAATGAGTTCAACATCGAAGACAAGTGTAGCACCACCTGGAATGTCATTACCAGCACCACGATCTCCATAACCGAGTGATGCTGGAATTACTAGTTTACGTTGTTCACCTTCGCACATACTAAACAATACAAAATCATTATTAAACAATAAAAGTATCATTTTTAGATAATAACGTACTTGAGTAATCCTTGATCCCACTAAAAAATAAATTTGATTAGATTTTATGATTTTGATAAAGAAGAAATTCTACTTACCCCTTTGATGACTTGACCAGTACCAAGTGTAAAAACGAATGGTTCATTACGATCACGACTTGAATCAAATTTTTTGCCATTTGATTTCAATGTACCCTAAGAAAAATCGAGATAGTTCTAAAAATGTTAGAAACTATTAATTATAATTACTGTGTAATGCATATGAAGACGATCGCCTTTTTTGGATTTTCGTTCACAATTGTCAACTTTCTTTTTAATACCAATTTGTAATTTATCTTCTGCTAATGTATTGACGATAATCATCAATAACACTGCAATGACAACGAAATATTTTGACATTTTATCTGAAAATTAAAATTTATTAAAAAATCATGAAAGTTTAACACTGGTATAAATATACAACTGATATAAAAAAAAACGATAAACGAATGTCTATGTTATCAAAAGAAATCGACAGTGAATTTTTTATAGTATAAAACGTTGAAATCATGGCGGTAGTTGAATGGTAAATCATACTCTACGAATAAGAAATATTATATAATATAGATTAGCATGTGCTAACGACCTCTATTGTTCGTTAAATATATATATACAATCTACTACATGATGGTTATAACTTTGGTTTTAAAGTTTTCCGTTAGTCAAATAAAATACAATGTGATCGAATGAATTCAAGTAGAATCATCTACACTAGAACACATCCGAAGCAATATCATATGTTATTCTGTTTTTCTATTTTTCGTTGATATGTATGACTTTGGGTGGAGAGATCTCTATCAAAGTTAAAAGAGGATAACTTCGTACAACTTCAATTCAATCACAATAGTTTTGCATAAAATAAATAGTATTAATTCATACTGATGAATAAGTACCCAAATCTATTACGGACGTTGTTATTTTTACCAATATTTTAGATATCAGTGACCTAGAAATATGTGAATTAGATGGTGATGAGTTTTCCTCAATTAAATTCTATATTGAATCTTTATGACGTAGTTAGATTTGATGAAGAAAAAAAAGAGATATGTGAATCTTTTTTGCTAATTTAACTATTGTTATTCTCAATAAAAAAGGATTTTACATTATTTTTAATCACGAGACTTTTATTTGAAGAAAAAAAAAGAAAATATTTAATTCAATGAAAATGATATAATCTTATGTTATAGTTGTATGTATTTGATTATGAACAAAATGATGAGTATGTTTATTATAATGAAATAATTTTTTTAGTTCATGACGAAAATTTGGTGTTGAAATAAAATAAATATAAAAATTTGATACTGGATTTGTATAGAATAAAATTAAAGAAATAATATGCAATAGATAAACTAATGATGATTGTTGAGAATTACTATCAGTATACATAACTTCATAAATTTGTTCCATACAATATGGAATCGATGATATTATAATTGCAAATGACATTAGAAAAAGCATACGTGATAATTGTTTGTCATGAGTTACATGTGCATGTGTTTGACCTTGAAGTGTTTTCAAATTTTTATATGTTAATGAACCAAATATTGAAAGAAATATAATAGGTAATATACCATGAAATAATAGTAGAAGAACATATATATAATAATATTCATAACTACTTGAACTTATAAAACATTGACCAACGTTTGAAACTTGATAATAAATTGCTACAGGTATACTATGTAAACTGATTAGAATAAAAATAAGTAAAATAATTTTTTTTGTTAATTGTCTTGTTGTACTCATATGTCTTAAATGAACATTTCGTGATGTTATTAAATATCGATCAAATGTTGCCATACAGAAACATGTTAATGACATTAAATCAGATGTATGTAAAACAAAATATCGAATTTGACATAATAAAATAACTTGATTTGGAGAAATTAAATGATTGAAACCATCATATATAATTCGAGTTAATAATGGATAAATAATTACCATTAAATTAGCAATAGATGATGCTAATAAATATAATGGACTATTATTTGTTTGATTAGCATTATGATGTTCGTTGCCTGCTGTTGTTCGCGGACGAGCCCATTTTGTAAATACACAAATATTTAAAATATTTCCAATCAAACCTAATACATACATGATTATACCAGCTGTAGTCATAAGTAGACGTGCAACTGTATTAAGATTAGCCATGTTAAGTTACTTTAAACTTGTGTGCTATAGATTATGAAAATACGACGAGTGCAAACAACCTTGGTAAATGAAAAGATTTATTAAAAATATATTCTACTAGGAACTTTTCTTCCCTTAATAATTTGCATTAGACATCATATAAAATATTATCGCTATATGATGACGATGCGTTTTGTTGATTGCATTCATTGTAAAAATCATGTGCTATACTAATCTTGTTTTATTCTTAAAATTTAGATGCGTTATTTCTAATGAGTAATTAAACTTTCATTCATATTTTTTGCTTACATCATGTCAAACGTATTTCTTTTTGGATGCCTAGTCTTTTGTTAGAATAAGAATAAGATCTTACAAATGATAACGAAGCATGATATGTGTTAAATAAAGAAAGAGTTAAATTAAATTTCAAATGCATTTATTTTTGTATATCGATGAGATTCAATCGATTTGAAATAAAAACAAGAAAATAAAATCGAACGAAAGACAATATTTATTAAAATTTGTGAAGTGTTTTTTTCTAAATAAATAAAATTAGAGGAAGAAAATTTGACAAACACAAGTGAGATATTTATATTCATGGAAAAATAAAATATTTGTTTAAAGATCTTTTTTTTAGAGAGAGAGAAATAAATATTAATGAACAGCTGATGTATTTGTCGTTCTATCATTATTTGAATGTGCTGTAATATGAATTTTTCGTTCAATATCCGCACAATATTTTTCTGGTACACCGGCACGACTAAAAATAAAAAATATTTAAATAAATTTTGTCGAAAAAGGAAAAGATGTTTACCGTAAATCATTAAGTTTTTGTGTTTTTATTTCATCAAGACGCATTCGACGTAATCTTGCTTGTTCATCAAGTCGAGCACCTTCATCAAAGAATGCTGTTCGTTCTTCAACTTTTTGTTTTTCATGACGAATAATTTGGTCACGTAAATCATTTGCAAATTTATGACGTTTTGTAACACGTTCAACTTGTTGATTACGATCTTTTTCAGCTTGTGCTAATTGTGCTCTATATATAATTAATACATATATATATATATTTTCATATAAATAAAATTAAACTAATTTACTTAAGTACACGTTCAAATTCAGCTCGTTCTCTTGCAGCTTCAGTAGCTAAATGATGTTCTTTATTTCTTATTTGCCAATCTCGTGCAAAACGCATTTCTTCTTCTAATTGTTTCTTTTTGACAACTCCAAGTTTTTCTTTTTCTCTCCATTCTCGTTCACGTCGTTCTTGTTCACGTCGAGCTCTTAAAGCATCTTTATCAGCTTGTAAATCTCTTGCACGTTCTTGTTGAACACGTAAACGTGCAACTTCTTTTTCTTTTTCAGCACGTTTACGTTCAATTTCAGCCTCTTGTGCTGCTTCACGTGCTGCTTTAGCTTTTTGAAATTCAAGTATAGCTAAATCAGCTAAACGATCATGTTGGCGACGAAATGCACGTTGTTCTTCGATATCAGTATTTGCTTTTAAAAGTTCTTGCTGAAAAATGAATAAATAAATATATTTACAAGAGATTTCTAAATATAAAAATCTTATTACAGCTAATTTCTTTTGTGAATCTTTTCGTTTTAAATATTCTTCGGAATCTTTTTCTTGTAATTTTTCCATATATTCAAGCATAGCCATATTTTCCTGTTCACGAGCTTCTTCTTTAAGAAGTTTGTCTTTTTCATTCTCTTCAATTTGTTTCATTACCATACTTGCACCTCTAACAAAAATAAACAATTTTGTCATAGTGTTTATATGATTGACTATATTCTTACTGTTTATTTTGTAAATGTCGTCGTAGTTCAATTTCTTCTTGTATTTTGAGTGCATTGAGACGTTCAATTTCCATCATCATATCCAACCGTTGAGCTTCATCAGTCATTTCTTTTTTAATTTGTCGTTTTTCTAAAACTTGTGCATCACGTATAGCATGACATTTGGCATTAAGAATTAACTTTAAAAAATATTATGAAAATAAAATAAAATTTTTTGTTTTTAAAACAAACTTCATTAAGATGTTTAACTTCATCTTCTTGTTCTTGTCGAAGATCATTGGCTCGTTTTAACATATATTCAGCTTCTTCTTTAGCTTCTTGTTCAATATCATCTAAAGGAGCATTTTTTCTACGTTGTTGATCATATCCTTGAATTGCTTTCTTTCGGCGATCAAGTTCAGTCTTTACGAAAAAAATATTTGTTTTTATTTGAAAAAGAAAATAAATTAAAACTTACATCAATTGAATCTCTCAATCGTATAGATTCTCGAAATTCATTTTCCCGTACATCTTTTGGTCTATTACGAGCTGCATGAGCTAAACGTTCATATGTAGCACTATCAATAATAACTGAACTACTAGTTTTATCTTCTGGGACACTAAATAAAAGAAAATATAATATAAAAATATTTATTTGTGTATTAATTTACACAATATCACGAATAAGATCTTTTGTAATATGTCTAACAATTTCTTTTTTGACAGGAACAGTTTGTTTTGTTGTATTTTCATTTTGTTTATTGTCATTTTGTTGACGTTCTGCTCTCATTTGTGCAGCTGTTTCTAATCGATGTGGTGCACCAAATAATGTTTCATCAACTTCTGATTGAGCATTAACAGTTCGATAACGATAATTAGTTCCATTACGTCGTGCAGTTAATGAACCACTACCACCATTAAAACTTGCTGATGTTGAGACTGGTGACATGTTTCTTCTTCTTCTTCTTCTTCTTCTAAAAAACAAAAAAACAGTTTTCTACTCTCAATTCAAGTGTTTAATTTTCTATTCACCATTTACCTTCTCCATCAACTTAGCAACGACCTCTACTTTTCCATCAATCAGATATTTTCCGAAGAAAAGAAGAATAATATTTTTCTCAAAATTCCAATATAAAATAAAACTTAATTTATCAGAAAAAGAAAAACTAAATTTCTAAAAATCAAAAACAAAAAAATTAGTAAATGAGTCATAAAAGATTTCTTTCTTATTTCACATGAATTTTTCCATTTGTTCTATCGTATTTAGTCGGATTATATTATTCTTTGGAAAAGAAAAGAAAAGATGCCAATAAGTGCTTTTCAACGTATATTTGATTTTGGTTCAAAAAAAGATGATACAAAAAATGTTTCATCATCAGATGCAATTCAACGTTTATCTGATGTTGAAGAAATGCTTAATAAAAAACAACAACATTTAGAATCACAAATTGATGAAGAAAAACAAACTGCCATACGTTGTTCAAAACAAGGAAATAAACGTGCAGCTTTAATGGCTTTAAAACGAAAGAAAAAATATGAAAAAACTTTACTTCAATTAGATGGAACATTAACAACATTAGAAACTCAAAGAGAATATTTACAAAATGCATCAACAAATATGGATGTTTTACGTGTAATGAAACAAGCAGCAAGTGCATTAAAAAAAACAAATCAAAATCTTGATGTTGATCAAGTACATGATTTAATGGATGATTTAGCTGAACAACATACTGTTGGTAAGATTTAAATTGATATTTGATTTTGAAAATATTCTTAATTTGTATTTATTTAGCTGAAGAAATTGCAAATGCGATTTCATCACCAGTTGGAACGTCAGATTTATATAATGATGCTGATTTAGAACGTGAATTAGAATTATTAGCACAAGAAGAAATAAAAGATGATATGATGAAAATCGAACCATTACCGGATGTACCATCTCATCAAACAGGAACAATTAAAACACATAATCAATCAGAAGAAATACGTGAACTTGAAGCATGGGCACAATAATAATCACAATCAATTTTCATTCTTATTCCTACGAATTTTCTTTCCTTTTTTCTTTCTTGTTATATTATTATTATTATTATTCAGATCTTTCACTTTTTCTTTTTTGTTGTTGATTGTTATCATTCTTGCAAAGAAAAAGCTAAGTCATGAAAAGTGCAGATGTATTTGACTATAAATCCTAATGAAATTTCTTTTTTTTTTCTCGCATATTTTGTTCGCAATAAAGAAAAATCATGTTATCGAGTGATGATAGCTTTCGATTTAAGATAATTATATCGGTGTGTTTAGATAGTAGAATATTAATATATATATTATTAGCGTATTTTTTCTTTTCTTTATTCATTCAATGTTTAAATATTTGCCTATTTGTCATATGCCATCATTGTAGATTTTCAATAAATATAAAAGAGTTCGTAATTAGGATTGATCATTTATGTCTACATTGTATTTTATATATTCAATATGATAATAGATAACCAACTGTCTTTAAAGATATTATTAATGACAAAGCTAAAATACAGATTCATATGATTTAACTATTGAATTATTTTGTTCTATATTACTATATTATTACATTTTTGAAGGTTGTTTCTTCTAACATCAGTTTGCTGTCGTCCAGTTGAAAAAAATTTCTTTTCTTTCTTTCTACTTGTTTAAATACTTTTAAAATTTTTAAAGCTGCCACACATGTTGTCGATTAGAAAGATTTGTTTATCGTCATAAAAATAAATTTTATAAATAAGGTAAGAGATACAAACAAAATGTAAATATTATGTTCCATTAATCATATGTCCAATTTCATTGTTCTCCTTGATTTTTTTATTATTGAAACACTTTACGAATAAATTACAAGTTGTTTTTAGAAGATGGTGTGGGTGTGTGGATACAACAGAATACATGCACCCGCACCAATTTGACATTAAAATGTATAACAAGACTTTTCTAAATGTTTTGGGTTATTCATTAGCAAAGTGACTAGTTTATGATCTTAGTGCTCTGAGAACACGATTTCAGAATTAATTTTACTTTAGCGTAACCCTCGTTATTTCTCTATAAATTGTATGGAATGATTGTAAGGCAACATTTTTCTTAACGACTATTTAGTGTTCAAATAACTTTGGCATTTAACAAATAATAAATAAAATAAGCAGATATTTTCAAACAAAAAATAAGAGCACAAATAAGTTAATAATGATATTCATTTGGGAGACATGCAATAATGAGAATAATTGTTTAACTGATATTCATTATATTTTTAGTTTTAGATGATACAATCAACACATAAATGGTTGATGATATCACTAATTATCAATGTAATATTATTCTCAATTAATTTTATTAATCAAAGAAATACAACTAGCAAGTCTTCTTATATTCATCCTATGTTTAACGATTCTGAAGCAAATATATGTTATTCTTTGAAATCTTTAGTAATGCCTGAAGAAATAATTGATTTAAACGCAATAGCTACTGATCGTCATTCAATTAATTCATCAGATAAGCCAAAAGAAGTAACATTTAATCGAGTACATTCAATATTATATGGAGATCCATCAACAAAATTAATTTATGATAATGCTCAAAAATATTTTAATAAAACATTTGATCAAACATATCCACATACTTTTCTTAAAGAAGATATTTTTATTTCAATTATTCAAAATATTCATCCATTATTAAAACTTCAATTTATAGTTGAAGTTGGATCATTTACAGGAAATTCTGCTTCAATTATGGGAAATGTTTTAAAAAAATCATATCCAGGATCATTTATTTTATGTATTGATACTTGGCTTGGAGGTAGGTGTCTTCTAAATAAATTTCTTTCAATTTAATTATATTCACAATTGTAAGATCATTTTTAGATTTGAATATGTGGGTAAATAAAGTTGTTTGGAAACATTTATCAGTAAGCGACGATGGTCGACCAACTGTTTATTATCAATTTCTTATAAATATTATAAAACAAAATTTAACTGAAATAATTCTACCAGTATCAATGACATCAATACTTGGTGCACGTTTTCTTCAAACATATCAATTTTATCCACAAGTTATTTATCTTGATTCAGCACATGAACAAGGTGAAACATTAATTGAATTATCATTGTATTGGAATTTGTTACAACCTGGTGGAATTCTTTTTGGTGATGATTGGAATTGGAGAGTAGTTCGATGTGATGTTAAAAAGTTTATTTATATGAAAAATTTAACTATACAACATTTTAAACGTATTTGGATTCTTAAAAAATCAATAGATTAATTTCAATATATTTTATTTTACTAACAGATGATTAGAAAGACAGTTTCTTCTGATTTGTTAAAAGAATATGATCTTTCGCATGCAACATGATTTAATAATATAACTTGTAAGAATTCTTAATCAATTTGTTTATATGCAGAACGAAGTTAAAGATTCATTTTGAAAATTCAAAAACATTTTAATGTAAATAATCTAGTAATAAAATGACTTTTGTAATTATTTTCAAGATGTATTTATTTATGAAGAAGTTTTTGTTGTATTATCACAATCTAGTTAGAAAAATTGCTCAAGTTGATGAATGTAATAGTAAATGTAGAAGGAAAGGTACTGATATCATTAAAGAAAATGGGTGTGAGTGTGCATGTGTGTGTGATGCGGATATGGTTGTGGGTGCGAATGTTATATCATGCCTCATCCACATCCACACCTACCCTTTTAATTAATAATTGAAAATATTTCATTAACATTCGTTTTTTTCATACCCCACAATATTTTGAACAATTAGCAGTTACTCATTTTATGCAAGATGTTTTTTTATTTTGACATCATATTTGCATCTATGCAAAAACAATAAATAAAAAGTGTCTGACATTTATTCTTCAATTATGTTACTCGTATCCCATATATAATCAAAGTAGTAATATGAGAAAAGGTGAATGTGGGTATGGAAATGGGCAGATGGTTGTGGGTAGAAAAGAGACACCTATATCTACACCCACATTCTCAAGATGGCAACATCCAGCCGGGAAAGGTAAGAATGGAAAAACAGGGTGGAAAAAATCTATTTTTTTGTTGCTTCAATCTGTTTCTTTATAAGGTCAATGCCCATCAGATCTGGCATAATTTTTGGAAAATTGACCTTTTGATACGCTGTAAGCATATCCTGTGCTTTTTTTACTTGGATCAACGCTTCTTCCATTAATTTTGAGGGTTGTTTTAGAATGGCAAAAGAGCCACCTTCTACTCTAAATGCTTCCGCTAAGTTTTTGTAGATGACGTCGATATCTACATGATAATTTTTAAAATCATTCACTCGAATTTGATGTGCTTGATTAAAACCTTTTAGTGCTTCGTTATAGTTGCCTCTTATTTGTTCAATAAGTGAAACAGCAGTGTACGATGCGGCAATATCTAGATGATCTGGAGGAAGAATCTTTAGTCGCATTTCTAGAGATTTGTTGTACATTTCTAATGCTTTCAATAAGTCGTCCTTTTTCAATAGCACCGTTGCTATATTGTAATAGGCTGCAGCTATGTCCGGATGGTGTGACTGAAGAGAACTGCACTGAATTTGACGTGCTTTATCGTAATGTTCCAGCGCATCATCATAATCGTCTTGGGAACTATAAGCTGCAGCGATAGAGTTGTGGAGTGAAGCAAGTGAAGGATGGTTAGAAGGAACAAGTCTTGAATGAATTTCAAGAGACTTTTCAAACATTTCCAAAGCTTCTGAAATACGCTTTTGCTCTATATAGACCGCTCCAATGTTACTGTACAGTGTTGCAATTCCCATCTTATCTGGATTGGTACTGTTTGACACTATATCTAAAGCGGTACGGAAACATTCTAATGCTTTGTCACGTTCGTTTTGATGTAGATAAGCAACTGCTAAATGGTTATAAGCATGCGCTACTATAATGTAATAAACAGGTGATGAATGCACTGAAATATCATTAATTAATTTCTCAAGCCATTCAGTTGCTTTCGCATGTTGACCCATATCACTATAAATGCAACCTAGCACGTTTTTTATGTTGCAAACTGAGCTAAATTCGCTGATAAATGATGGATCTTTTAATAACAGCTGACAGAATTTTTCAGCTTGTTCATAATTGGCCATATGTCTTACCAAATTTATCAAGGTAAAAAGTGGATTTTGTTGTTTAATCTCTTTTCTAATATATCCAGTTAATGTTCTCAATTCTTTGTCTTCTTCGTTAGTCAATTGTAAATAAACATTCCAACAACAATCTTTATCACGTTTTTTGATCGATACAATCCGAAACACCGCACCCATTGTAAACAAGATTTCATCTTCAGCCTCAAATGCACTTAATGTGGAAATATTGGCATATGGAAACTTGGTGATAGGTTTATTCAAATCAATATGGAATAAAACACTTTGTTCAGAAGACGTATCGTTCCGATTGTGGTTACCAGCATATAGAATAGCTAGTCGTTTATTGAATGTTGTTGATAAAAAACTATAAACTGAAAATAAGCCACCAACGTTGCATCGTATTCTTTTGTCAAATTCTTCATCGCTCATTAGCTGTCCACGATAAACAGTGGTAATAGTTTCTGACTGTTGTTGCGAAATATATTCATTGTGAAGTTGTAAATGCAAGTCTTTGATAAAATAACGAAGTGAATAAAGTGTACCAATGTCCTGGTCCCTCAAAGCTTTATTGAGAAGACGATAGAGAAACGTGTCTCGGGTATACCAGTTGATTGTTTGAGAAGGTGCGTATGTGTTTTCAAAATCTTGAATGTAGCGTAATTGTATTGTGTCATTTGCACACTTCTGACGACAAAAAGTGACCATTTCTTCTTTATTCGATTCAATCTCAATTAATAGGTCTCGCAATAATAAAGCATACATAGATTCAGCTTCTTGACGATTTGTATCTTCTGGATATGATAACTGGTGCATAGTAGCATTGTTAAGAAAGGAAAGTATAGGAAGTGTTGGAGACAATGTGGTAATAGTGAAATCATCACGGATAAAGGTTTCTCTTCTTTTTCGTTCTTTGTCTTGCAATTGTATTAGGTGCGTCGATAACATTTTTATGTTTGTATCAATTCCGTTTATTATACTCGCTAGTTTGATATTGTTGTCATCAGACATGAAAGGTAAACTGAATCAACTGGTTCAAATTCTAGTCTAAAATGAACATATTAATCAAAGAAAAGTAATGATGTTTTGGTGGACATTATGAAAATTCCCTTCTTACCATCTTCTTTCTCTTACTAAGATAATCGAAAGATTTATTACAATCACGAAGTGCTTTAAATATAGATAGCTCTTGTAAAGATGAAGAAATATACTTGTCACTGCTGTGGCATCAATTAAGTTGTGGATTCGATCAAACTAAACTAGAATTACACTCGGTCACCTGATGTAAAGTTGATTATGTACGTTAATATTCTGTTTTGCTTATGCTCTACGTTAGGAGTTATATAAATGTTCAAGAATGAGAAGAATAAACTTGGTTTTTTCCAAGCATAACGCTTTTGATGTGTAATTGAAAGAAATATTTTTCTTTTACTACGTCAGGAAGAATTAGAGTGGACCGAGAAAGAAAAAAAGACGAGAAGGAAATCATACTCTTACTGAATCTAGCGGTGTAAAATAGAAGAGAGAAGAAAGAAAAGAATAAAAAAGAAAAGAATGTGAATAAAGCAGAGAGACACAAAATACGTAAAAGAGTATGTAGAGATATGTGCGCCGTCTTTCTCTAAGATACATCCCCATTAACATAAATGTGGGCCCATTCACATTAGAAAGGAAAGCAGGAAAAAAACATTTAATCGAGGAAAAAAAAAGACGGTATAAAACGTATGCAACATAATAACGATAAAAGAGAAAAGAAAAAAAAATATTCATGCGCAAAGTTATTAGATGCAGGTCCACTAGAACTTCAGAGCAGGCGAAGTCGATATAAATGAGGGTGTGGATCCGAGTTCAGAGAACATAAACACATCTATCCATACCCACACCCTCAACTAATCTACTATTAAATAATTTTTATAATTATTTTCAGGATGTACTTATTTATGAAGAAGTTTTTGTTGTATTATCAAATAGTCAAGTTAGAAGATTTGCTCAACTTGATGAATATAATAGTAAATGTAGAAGGAAAGGTACTGATCGCATTAAAGTAAAATATTTCAATCAATTTATTTTAAAATTAATAATTTGGTTTCTTAAGGTAAAAAAAATATTGAAAAGTATTTGACCAACTTTTGAACTTGTGAAAGTAAAATTTTATTAATTAATTGTTTGTTTACTTCATCAAAGTTTATTTTATGCTCTTATAGTTTGTTCATGATGTTTTATGACCATTCTGAAGCTGCGAGTTCATGTTCTTTTTATTTCGGATCCGAATCCGGTTTTTTCACTAAGATTTAGCACTTTTTATATACATGACCAATTAACTGACTAAGATTTTAGTTATTTCTTATTATCTACTCGCAC